GAGTGCTGCAGTACTGCTAGGTAGTGTATCTTGCACTGCACCAAGATGATACCCCCTGACTAGCTGATTTGCTGTCTTGATAGTTTTACATTAATAATGTTGTATGTCTTAATGTTATTCTGTTTGTTTCCCTTTGTTTTACAAATATGACCTAATATATGTTGCGTTACTTAAAATTAATGTTTAAATAGCATTTATTTTTGTATTGTGTTATATTTTTATGCTATAAGTGGTGTTAAAAACTATTCTGCACATTAATGAGCCAATATATTATGTGGTGGGCTGCTGTGGGCCAGAAAGTCCAGGGCCACTTTTTGGTCCGAGTCCGCCCCTGGATGGGCCTGAGGCCCTCATCCTTTTTGGGGATGAGCAAGTAGCGGCTGTAGAAGCCTGACTCCCTGTGGGGAGGAGGAACTGTTTCTACAGCTGCCTTTGCTAGTAAACTCATTACTGTACTGTATCTGACCACGCCAAATCGCTTCAGCACCACTAGGCTGGCCATGGCTGGGCGGTGGTCTTCGTGGCATACAGGGCCAGGTCTGTAGCGCTGCACAGGGTAACGGAATGCGGCTTGGTCTGGTCTGAGGACTGCCATGGTTATGGCTTGTGCAGTTGCACTGTGTCATTAATTAAATGCTTCAATATTCAGAGAAAAAGGTGTTTTATCAATATGAGTAAAGCATTTTGAAATCATTTTAATGACAGTACATTCAATGACAATCAGTAGATCGATGTTTAATTTAGTGTGCACTGTTATAATGGAATGCTATTTAAATGCAACAAATTATAGAGGAATGAAACATAAAAACATTTCTGAAAAAGATCAGATCTTTGATACTTCTAAAACATGAGCCTGTGTGATAGATTAAGCTACTACTTAAGTTAACAGTTTACTGATCACAAAGTGATGAGAGTACAATCAGTGCCGCCACTAAAATTTACAGGATAAAATTATGGGTAACTCTTGTAATTTCTTGAATTTCCATTAAAAAAACCTTACAAAATTAATACAGATTCTATACAAGAATTTCTACCTGTCAAAAAGCTTCAGTTGAAACTTTCCTTTGTTTCTAGATGCATAAAAGGAAACCACAGAAACAGCCAGTTTAAGATGTCTAGTTGTTGAAGAGGATGTGAGATTTTGTCCTCTGTGAGCTTTTTTCCGACCTCAAGACATCGGTTGCAAATTACATTGGTCACATTAAACTGTTGCTCTGTAAAGTTACTATCATAGGTTTTGTGATCAGGATTTTCAAACCAACACACTAAGATGAAAGATACTTCAAGGTGGTTTTCGTCTTGATTTATATCAGTCCAAATTAAAACATGTCAATAGTTGAGATCTTACTTCCTTTGGGTTATGCTTAGAAGAGCACCTAAAGCTGCGAAGACAAAGAGATGTGATTTGATCACAGATTTCAGAAAGCATAAAATCAATTTAATCTTCTCCTCCTGCACTGATCTGATGTGTTGTGAAGGTGTTGCATGGTTTCACTCCCAACTTTGATTTCTTATTTGGACTAGAGCAATTTCACAGAACACTAGCTTAGTGTTTCTATGCACCGAAAAGTCCTTGTACCAATAATATTGAAAAATCAGAATTGGTCTGTTGTGGTCTCTGGTGACTATAAAACAGCTGTGGTGCAAATCAGTAATCAGTGGTGAAGATTTTAAAGTGAAATTGACATACGAAGGCCAATATGTTAACCCATACTCGGAATTTGTCCCCTGCATTTAACTCATTCAAGTTAGTGCACACATATTAGGAGAAGTGAGTAATTACACACACTGTAATCCATGGACACACAGCCGGAGCAGTTTGCAGCCATTTTTGTTGTGGCGCCCGGGGAGCGATTGGGGGGTTAAGTGCCTTGCTTAAAGGATAATTCCGGTATTTAACACTTTGAGTCTATTTTGTAGTTTGTTTTGAATGAACTAGAGTGGTGGACTTAGAAATTTTGACAATGGGTCCTGTCTCGACTTTTTGACTATTTTAGGATCGCCTCTGACCGCTTCAGAGTGGATGTCTATGGGCATGCTCAAACATGTCCTTAAAACAACCCTTAACGTTCATTTACAAAACTGTGCAACTCACCGAGTGGTTAGTGGTGTTCGTTGATGTTCCAAAACAAGTAGCGTAGCGAAATACAGTTTCTGTCGTGTTTTATTTGCCATTTTTTAAAATCACATTGATGTCTGCTGAAGGACTCAGTGCTCGTTGATATTACTGCGCTACCGGAAACGGAAAGGGGTCTGTTTACATTTGGTTGTAGTCTTTTCGCTCGGTTCTCCGTCTCTCAGAAGGCTAGCGTGAGCAGAGCAACTGTGCTCCCGGAGTAGCGAAATAAACAAACAAAAAATCCTTACATCTAAAATGTATTATGAAAGGTGGATTCTGGAGGACCCGTTCGATTTTGAGTTTGACGGTCGAGGATACCGCTTCGAACCTGAATATACAGAAGAGGAGCTGGTCGGGAGTGTGCTTACGCTTCAGATTCAAATATCGAGCGGAAGTTTATACGCGGTTGTGAGGTATCTGAAAAATAGTTCCACTATAGCAAATAACACGGATTGAAAGCATACATTGCGCCGATATATTTGTTTTTAATTATCAACGAACACCACTAACCACTCGGTGAGTTGCACAGTTTTGAAAACGAACGTAAAGGGTTGTTTTAAGGACATGTTTGAGCATGCCCATAGACATCCACTCTGAAGCGGTCAGAGGCGATCTTAAAATAGTCAAAAAGTCGAGACAGGACCCATCGTCAACATTTCTAAGTCCACCACTCTAGTTCATCCAAAACAAACTACAAAATAGACCCAAAGTGTTAAATACCGGAATTATCCTTTAAGGGAACCTCATTTCCAGCCGGTATTGAGAATCCGACCCACAACCTTTGGGTTACCAGTCTGACTTTCTAACCATTAGGCCACAACTCCCCCTTAAAATGTCAGCTTTTAAAACAAAATAGGAAGAGTTGAGTCTGAAATGTATTATTAATTTACAGCCCTCTGAGATTGATAACCTCTGAGACACTTAACATAAACTACCATAAAAAACAGAGATCTTGCAAGGACTCATAGAACCCCAAATCCAGCTTGTTATTGTTTGTGTGTGTGTGTGTGTGTGTGTGTGTGTGTGTGTGTGGCATACACAACCAACACCCTAAGGATGCAAGAGTGAGCTATGCTTCTTTCTGACTCATTTTATTTCTCTGTGGGCAGCATTCTTTGGGGCGTGGCGGTCTCACCACAATTGTTTACCAGGGCATAGGTCAAGATTTAGTTTGCTTTGATTAAAGTCAGCTCCTATGAAATCTTGCAAATAAGTTATTTAAAAAAAAAACTTGATTAAAAAATATATGATTCAGAAGCATGCATGAAGAATGCTTTAAAAGATGCTTTGAAATTGCATTGATTAAACTTTAAGAGAACTTGACGAAAACTTGATAACATCACATCGGAAGGGTGTTCCGACACGCCAACAACTCGGTAACACGATGACATTCGATCTTGAAAGCAGATGCGATTGTTTATATATTAATAAAGTAACACTGGAATAAATCAATATTATAATTTACTATAGCACTTATTGAAGTCCCAGGACAGGTTTCAAGTACATTTGACAGTACTTTCAAAGATAAGGTAATGTGATCAGCAAAGAAAACTTATTTGAATATCTATGCTTTTAAAAGAAAAAGCTTCCTTTGAGTCTTGGTTTGAATGTTTAAAGTCTTTAGAAGCCTACTCCTCCAGTATGAAGTATTTTTTAAGTAAATAAAGTATTTATTATTATATATTTATTATATATTTATTATAATAATCATTATTTATTATTGCTTCAAACATATTTTATTACAACAAGATTACAAAATAGAGGCATCATTGCTTGTATGAAGTTTTTTTTTTGTTTTAAATGTTTTATTTGGTTACACATTATTTTAAGGTGTCATTGTAACAGTGTAATTGTCACGGTTAGTTGCAATGAAGGATGGATGCAGGATCTAAACGCAAGCAGTATTTATTTACACATAACTCAGGAAAGATACACATGAACAGAACAACCTAACCATAGGCAACGTAGAACTGACAACTGAACAGAACCAAACACAGGGTTTAAATACACAGGGACTAATCAAAGTAACGAGACAGCTAACGAGGGAATTGATAAACAACAGGTAATAGGAATCAAACAATAAGACAATGGAAAACTGGGTCAAAGGAATGGGTACACAGTCAAACATGAACTGAACAATGAAAACTAATCTAGAATTCAGACATGAACCGAAAAGCAGAACAAAACTAAACTCAAATCGTGACAGTAATTATATATTTAAGTTCTGAGTAATATTAATTAGCAACATGTACTTTAGGGTTAGGGTAGGATTAGGATTTGGTTGAGCATGGTTAGTTGCATGTAATTATGCATAATTTACTGTTATTACTATAAGTACATGTAACAAGGACACTGTAAAATAAAGTGTTACATTTTATTTTTTATTATAAATACAATGCATCTATAATATATTTATTTATTACAGATTTATTTAATGTTCTTTCAAACACTCACAATGTCACAGCTGGTTGCAGGAAGGGAGACTAGAAGCAGTATCTATTTGCAACAGTCATTTTTATTTACAAAAGACCAAAACAGAAACACAGCGGAGACCAGAAGAGAGCAGGAAATGAAGCAAACCAACATATTACAGATCAGAACTGACCCTGAACTGAAACAAACCGAGGGTTTAAATACACAGAACATAATGAGATGATTAACTAGACACAGGTGTAGCACATGAGGTCAAATTAAAAACCATGACAACAAACAAGGGAAGGGTCAAACCAAAACAAAACAGGGAAAAACACAGTATTATTGTATTATAAATACAATTTATTATTATTATAGATTTATTTAATATTCCATCAAACACTTACATATTATTTTATCACAAAATCATGACACAAAAAATAAAAATAAAATAGATGCCAGAGGTATAGGGTAAGGGTTAACTGTTGACCCAGCTATGCAGGTCACTGTACACTTTGTTATGCTTAGAGAGCTGGTCATAATGCATGCAAATATGACAGAGTCTCTCTCTCCAGTCTGTGTACATTCTAACATCATAGTAATGGTGCCATCTAAAATAAGATTCATAACGCTCTTTATCAGCGGCCACTTGAGTTAAGAAACTAGCCAGCGCCTTAACGCTGCTGAAGTCATTTACATGGATGAATGATTCCGGTGGAATTGATAGTTCATAAATGTTCCTGGGTGGGCCGAGCACCACCGGCACACTCCCTGCCTGAAGGGAGTTCTGCCACAGCTTCTCCGAAATATAGTCTGTAGATATTGAGTTTTCAAAGGCAAGGTAGAAGTAACATCGAGATATCGTGGAAAGCAGCTTTTTGTTTGAGAGCGGCCGCTTGGACCACTGACCGTATACTTCTATCAGATTTGACGGAATGTGTTTCTTCAGCTGCTGGAAAACTAGAGAGCGACTCTGATTGGCTTTGTATTTGCTGACCACCCAGCAAACTAGGCAGTCGCTCTTCTTCGGAATGATGTACGTGGCATTAGTCCTTTTAGAAACGAGTTCTCCGTATGGCATGAAGATGTCAGCATCACGGCGATAACTCATCGTCCAGTTGAACAAGCCGTTGTAGTTGCTAAGGTTGTGGTTGTTTGTGGGAGGTTCCAGCGATAACCAAAGCCACTTCTGCATAGGTGGACGTGCAAGGTGGAGAGGAAGTTTGGAGTGACCAGTCCAGAGCTCATAGTAGTGGAACACTACAACATCTGCTTGAGCGAAATTGGATTGGTTATCCTCCAGAAAGCATCTAGGGATTTCATATTTATCCATACAGACACCTCTCCCCACTCTGTAGTGAACTCCGAAAGGCCAGTGCCACAGGAGGATGGTGATGTTATGCTCGAGAATTTTTGGTCCGCTGGTCTCAATCTGACTCAAGAGTAGATTGTTTATACTCCAAGATAAAAAATTGTAGAGCAGTACAAAGCCAAACAGACAACAGAGGGCATGGTTATGTTGTTTCAATAATTGCATGGCACAACTACTGTGAAGACAAAGAAGTGAGGTGGTTACAGATATCAGACAGCATCAAATCAATTTAGTCTCTTCTCTTCCTTTTGAAAGTAGTGACTAAACCCTGATGTGATGTGATGTGATGGCGTGAACACGTAGGGACACTTAATCATCACTTCGCATGGTTTCAGTAACAACTTTGCATGGGTTTGTTTTAAAAAAATAACTGCACTAATATTAAAGCAGGTTGGAATCAATATACTATGCACTGCAATTTTAATAGCAAAATAATGTATTTATTTTTCTAATATGTTCACAATAAAGGTAAATAATTTACATATAAAAAATCTATTTCTTTTTGTTATTGTATTTTCTAAAATAATGCAGGCACAATTAAATAATGTACTTGCCTTGGCTTGAGAGTCCAGGACCGACACGAAATTTAAGTAAGCAATTGTGTTTGCTTGAAAGCAGAATGCCACTGCTTTGTGGGCGAATGACATATACAGTGAAACTGTGTATCCGGCCCTGCCCCGCCTGTTGGCAGTCAAACTCACAACGCAGAATTTGGACACATGATCAATGTGGTGCAAAGATTCACCCTGCACATGTGTAAAAGCCACACCTACTTTGGCGCAGAGCAGGCAAGATGTCTTTGTGATATTATACAAAACTACAACTTATAGCACTGTACATGTGGTACAGATAATATTTTACAGAAATTACTGAAATGATTTTAATATAAGGGGTTTAAGGAAACATTTGTTAATCTTAAACGAACATTTAAAAGTATGGATTGAGCTGTTGTCCATCTGAAATGCTTTGGTTGGTCCCACTGCAAGACAAATCACATTTCACAGGTTATATCTTTTTTTAAATCCTAACTCCCAAATTCAAAGATATTTTTAGAATCTGCCCTTGTTTGGCAAAGAATGTGATCAGTAATTATTTTGTGTGGAAATAAATAATTTATAATATAATAATATTCACAAAATATGGCCCAATATATGATGCTTTATTAATCTTCTGTTGATTTTTACAACCGTGTGTGTTTTAGAAACCGTATGTGTTTTCCCCGTATTTTAGTACATTTGACAGAAAATGTACAGCTACTGGTAGGCTAATTTTCCTATACAGATTTTTTCTTACAGTGTAATATTAGGCCTATATAATATGAACTGTATACGTTCCATTCAGATTTTAAAGAATGGATGTCAGTTTAGTGGATGTCACAGTTTTGGGCTCTTAATGATTTATTGTTTTTTGTGAGTTGGCCATTTAAATTATTTGTGACGTTGTTGTCATATAGTGAAAAAAACTTGTGGGTGGATTTTTCTTTTTCCTCTTGTGGGCTGATGCTGTAGAGAGGAGGAACCACAACCTGCTCTCACACTGGACATTTAGCGCTTTTATTTGTCATGAGAAATAGGCCTATCAACTTAATTCCCATTGTCTGAAGTGTGTGAACACAAACTCCATTCACCTAAGTAAATCAATTTGTCACGTTATCTTTTATAATTAGTATGGCGCTAATAGGCTAGCCTATTTCTAGACACTAGAGGGAGGTGTTGATTAAAAATTTGGATGAAACTATCATGTCGAAGCTTTTTATGTAGGCCTACAGTACATCAAATCAATAAAAGCATCAGCACAATATACACAAAAACGAGCATATTGTTGCATTATTGATTTGCAAGTTCTCTTTATTTCTAGGGAGATTCAAACATTAGCGGTGGGGAGATGATTCATCCCAGTGACTCGAATCTTTTGCGTAGGCCTACTACACTAAGGCCATATCCACACGAAGCCAGAGCTTTCCCTATCCGATGTTTTTTTCCCTCGTTCTAAAAAATTAAATTCCGTAAACACGTCGTCGTCTCAAGAATTACCTGCGTACACACGAAACCACTAAAACCGACTCAAAACGATGTAGTAATACATGTATTTTTACTGAAAAAATTTACTGAGTTGCTGAATAGCCTAGGCTACTATTACACAGGAGCCTAAACTCTGAGAAAACGATAATGTTAAGCGCAATAAAAGATAATATTCAGAATTAAACAGTGTAGCTGACTTACAGATTCAGCTAACATCCACAAATGAATAAGCACAACGATTCAGGGGAGGTTCAGACCTTGGCTGAAGCAGCTACACAGTGAACTCTGAGAAAATGCTACGCTTGAGCAAACAGTTTGTGAATAGGCTACTACAAATGATGGCCGTGAATAAAATATAATATTCAGATATTTTTAAACCAACCATCTAATGTCAGAATGTTTATTTTGGGGAGTGGCACTCAGTGTGCAGTGTGAGCCAGAGTGGCCAGCGGCTAGAGCAGCAAAAGCCAATGTGTGCTTCTTATACCGATATATTTAACGATGTATTTTGCATTTCTAATCCAAACAACGTCAAACTTGGCACCGCACTTACTCGTACCCGTAGCAAGACACCTGTCAAGTTTGAAATCCATCGAACTAACGGTTCGAGAGATATGCGAATAACCAATATGCCTGTTCAAAATCTGTTTTTGTGCGTGTTTTTAGTAATTGTTGGTCCTGTGTTTTTGAGAGCTTATTGTTACAATTACACAGCAAAAGTTTGGTGACAATTTGATTTGTGCATGGTAGAAAGCAAATACTGATACTAACATAATGACATACAATAAATATGGAAATTTGAACTACATATATAACTAACTGACAACTAACTACTTCTGAATAACTACAATATTCAGAAGTAAACAGTGTAGCTGACTTAATGTTTAGCTGACAAAGTGTTTATGTCAGAATTTTTTTTTTTTTTAAACCACAACCCTCTAATGTCAGAATGTTTATTTTTAAACCACAACCCTCTAATGTCAGAATTTTTATTTTTAAACCACAACCCTCTAATCTCAGAATGTTTATTTTTAAACCACAACCCTCTAATGTCAGAATGTTTATTTTTAAACCACAATTTTTAAACCACAACCCTCTCTAATGTCAGAATGTTTATTTTTAAACCACAACTTCAATGTGTGCTTCTTTACCGATATATTTACCGATATATTTTGCATTTCTAATCCAAACACATCAAATTCGACACTGCACTTACTCGTGCCCATAGCAAGACACTTGTCAAGTCTGAAATCCATCGGACTAACGGTTTGAGAGATATGCGATTAACATGGAGACAGACAGACAGACAGACGTTCCTGTAATTTATAGATAGATACATTTTTTTTAAAATTTATTTGATTAAATCCAATGGTTGATGAAATATTGATTAAAATTGAGATACAAACTATGCTGATAACGACAGAACTTGCGACCATATAGTTGGCTAACCATACTTTTGGGAAACACACCCCTGAACGAAACTTCAAATACGATACAATTTTTTTTACGTATACAGCTGTACGTGTCTCCGTGTGGACAAGGCCTAAAAAAGATCAAGTGGTTCAATATCCCTTTGTTATGAGCGAGTCATTGAATCACTCACTCAACCGATTTGCTATGGGCGAGTCATTGAATCACTCACTTAGCCGATTCGCTAAAAACACGGAATCAACCGAAACAAGTCTTGTCAGAAGTGAGATTTGTTGCCAAGTATTTTTTACACACAAAAGGAATTTGTCTTGATGACAGAAGTTTATCATCACTCAAACAATCACTCAAACAACAACAATAAGGTAGCTCAATATGTAATATAAAAAATGAAAAGGACTGTAAATATCATAATTAATAAACATTCATAATTATTCTATGTCCTTTAATTAACTTTAATGACAGCAAAGTACCGCAGAGCAGAGTGCTCCGTAGGCTTCCGAATCTCTTTCGGTACTATTTTGACGTTGGTAGGCTTCTTCTGTGGAAGAACGTGACACACCCCTGCTAAAATGTAGTGCCAGTATGCGCTCATTGGCACCCCCTCAAGCTGGTGGCCCCCTATGCCACCGACCGTCTAGTTCATGCCTAGAAAGTTTAAAGGGGTCATATAATGCCATTTTTGTACAAGCTAGTATGATTATTTAGGGTCTACATTAAAAGTTTGTAATATACTTAATTACAAATTCTCATTAGTATTGTAAGAAAACACTTATTTTACTTGGTCAAAAACAGCTCTGTTTTCAGCACGCCATTTCAGTGCATATGACTTTAAATGATAATGAGCTTTGCTCACCCCGCCCCTCTGTTCTGTGCATACACCGTTTGTAACACAATAACACAATAACCATAACGCGTTGTTCAGTATAAATGTGGGATTATGAATTATATTGAGAACATCATACATAGAAAACATGCCGTAATGTACCCTAAGTGTAAACCTTAGACGCATTCATTGTGAAGCGTGCAGCTAGCGATTTGCAAAGATTAATATAAATATTAATATAAAGTTTAATAAAATGTTGTTAATCTTCAGTTGTTCTAGAGGTTCAGCAGGAACACGAATAGCTGGTACCAATCCTTTTTTCATGAGCAGCTTCTTAGCAAATCCAGCTTTATACTGATCCTCGTTTATAAAGCAGTCTGGTGTGTGAAATGATTCGCGCAAACATGAGAGCATTGACATTGCTCGTGGGGAATATTCCCTTCGAAAACAAACTCAGCCACTGCGTCTTCAGCGGTTGGGATTTAGGAACATTAAAATGACTGCTGTGTTCGTTATTACACCCAAGAACAGAACACCACAATCGCTTGGACGCCATTCTGCTCATAGACAGTGCTCCAGCATCAACAATGACCACGCCGGTCCGCGCAGACTATGATTGAATATACGTGACTGACTAAGATTAAATCACGAGCGAGGGCGGGTCTGTGTTGAAACGCTGCTGTCAATCAACAATCGTGGGAGGGGCTTCCGAGCGTGTGACGTCACACGGTCCAACGGGCTCGATTTGAGACAGGGGAAAACATATAAGGAGATTAAAACAAAAACACTGGATGGATTTTTATCATTTTATGATGGTTGTGTACAGGCACTGCCAACACATATTTCAGTACAATCAACTTGTAAAAGTGCATGTACCATTATATGACCCCTTTAACAACGGCTGACATGAACGCATGAAGGGACAGGGAGCGGCATTCCCTGAACGATTTTCCAGGCATATTTCGGTTTCAGAACAGAATTCTAATC